GCGCCCCCTGTATCTCTATTTTTATTTAGGTCTTGTTTCGTTCAGTGTACAGATCCTACAAGTGCTTCAATAAATGTACCCCTACATGTTTCGTGGTTTTGGATGCTGTTGTAAATGAAATTGAATTTTTAAAGGTTGCCTGTTTTTAAAATGCTGAGCTGGGGTTTGACTCTTCACTGTTAGGCTCTATGGTCTTTTATGGATAAGCAGAGAGAAGGAAAATTGTATGGAGGAGAATTAGCGAAGACAGAGTTAGGCCGCCAGAGAATAAAGATGTTAAAAGCTGTACAATTTAAGCAGCCTGCAATGGGTTCAGCAGAAGAAAGGTCAACCTTACTGTAAAACAAAGTCCAAAAGTAGATCCAAACACATCTGAGAGTTTAGGGGGAAAATAAACTGCATCTGTTTGTCTCCTCTCTGCGCATCACATTGTAAGAGCTCAATAAATATTGTTCTGTTACTAAATCACATTCGGGTTAAGATTTAATGTAAAACATAAAACCGTGTTTTGAGAAGCAATTTTCGATGAGTCTTTCTATCATCTTGAGTGGAGAAGAGCTTTCTAAGCAGAGAATCAAAACCGGAAGCCATAAGGAATATATTAGTAAAATTTGACTACTAAAAATTGTAAAAACCTATCATGGTGGTCATAGCATCATGTATAGAATTGAATGGTCGGATCACTATGTTATACATCTGAAACTAATACAGCACCGGATGTCCACCGTACTTCAATAAAAATAAATAATAAAAAGGACTGAACTAGAAATGAAAAGTGTAGAATGTGTGCAAGTCTGAGCATACAGAGTCTCATAAATAATCCCAAGATCCCATCCTCAAAAATCTAATTCTAGAGTCCTGAATAGATATGCTTTAAAAATATAAATAAGGAAGTAAATTAAATGAAAAATTATTATTCTACCACTACTTAAAGACCTATAAAATAGCTACAGCCCTGGGATGAGCCTCCCCAGGCCAAATTAGTCTAGTATACACAGAGATCGTATTTCTGTAGAGACAAAACCTGTCAGTAGCCTTAATCCCTCAAAAAAACCTCAGACTACAAGCAGCCATTAGCCAAAGTAAACATGAAAAGAGAAGGAGCATCAGAATTGTCAGTAAATTCTGCAAAATCGAAATTCAAGCCATCAGTTTCAGTAATTCCCAGAAATAAGAGCCAAATCTAAATACTCTGTGGCTTTGTGATTTTACAATTGGGCCAATACAAAAGTTTCAGGAATTTTTTAAAATATGTAACTGATGTAGCGCACACATATACCTTGGTATGTAGTTAGCTTTTATTTTTTTTTATTTTTTTTGAAGATTTTATTTATTTGAGAGAGAGAATGCGAGAGAGCACGAGAGGGAAGAGGGCAGAGGGAGAAGCAGACCCCCCGCTGATCAGGGAGCCCGATGTGGGACTTGATCCGGAGACTCCAGGATCATGACCTGAGCCGAAGGCAGTCGCTTAACCAACTGAGCCACCCAGGCGCCCCTGTAGTTAGCTTTTAAAGTATTTATTCAGTGAAATACTAGCAAGGAATTTAGGATTGAAAACTTGCATAGAGATCAAGGTCAAGTGAAAGCCCCAAGTAGCCTCTAAGAGCTTGCATCTCTCTGAGCAAATGTAATCTGGTAGTTCCATCCAGCTGACTGACCTCAGCACATGAATGAGGCCAGTTTGAAGCAGCTATAGCCATGTTTAATTTTGCCTTGAATCTGCAACATCCTAATTGCAAATTTGCTCCCTTTAATTTGCAGTGACCCCAGGTGATGGGCTATTTCCATATGGAAGTAGGGCTCACGAAGAACTTTGTGGGCATGAATTGGGGTGATACCAGAGGACCTACCCTGGTGAAACTGAAATCTGTATTCTAGTTCAAGTATCAGCCACGGTGGCATATTGAGTTGGTCATTTTGGAGCTGGTATCATATCCTTACTAAAGACTCCCTGTAGAGACTGTGCCTCCCCTGGTGTCATAAAGAATAGGGACAATTCTTTCTACTTTGGCTGCACACTGTCCAATAATGGGCATGGGGGGTAGGAATATTTGAAAGTTGAAGTAAAACCATTTTGAAATTGTTCAGTCTCCATCTTCTCTCTTTGCTGAGTATGAGGAGACCCAAGCTGTTTGCACTGAACTAGATAAAATAAGCAGGAAATAGTCCTGAGGCCTATGATATTAATGTTTACAAATAATTAGAGCTTGTCAAGAAACCCATTTGGGGTTACTTTGGGTACTCAATGTAGGAGAAAATTGCCTTAGAAATGATAGAGATCTGTATTTAAGGATTCCTAGTGTCGTGAGGGGGAAGGAAGGTTCGCAGATGGGTGGCACAGAATTGGGCATCTTATGCTTCTCCCATGGGGTAGAAGGTGCCACCTCCCCTCCTAGGGGGTCTGTGAAGTGCCCCCAGAGAAATATAAACTGTGCTAGGTGGGAAGGGTCATGAATTCAATTTGGGTTCTTTTCTCATATACAAGGTAGCTGAAGGAGGTTGAGCATTTGACTCGGTTTCTGGCTGTTCTATCTTAGAATTAGAGCTGGCTGTTAGGTCTGGCATAGAACTGTCGAAAGTAGGGTCATTATTTGGCTATGCCTCACTCTGTCTAGACATTTCACTATGACTTTCTGCCTCTCTCTCTTCTCCCCTTATCCTTGTTACCCCCTCCTTGCCCCGTCACAACAGGTGTAGAAGACATTGTGGCAATAATGATTCCTGAGCCAAAAGGAAAGGAGATAGTAAGCCTGCTGGAAAGGAACATCACGGTGACCATGTACATCACCATTGGAACCCGGAACTTGCAGAAATACGTGAGCCGCACTTCGGTTGTGTTTGTCTCCATCTCTTTCATCGTCCTGATGATCATATCCCTCGCATGGCTGGTCTTTTATTATATCCAGAGGTTTCGATATGCAAATGCCAGGGACAGGAACCAGGTGAGTATCAAAAAGTTTTTTTAAAAATTAAAAATTATTATAAAAGGAATACATATTGGGGTGCCTGTGTGGCTCAGTTAGTTAAGCGTCTGCCTTTGGCTCAGGACATGATCCTGGGGTCCTGGGATTGAGCCCCTTGTTGGGCTCCCTGCTCAGCGGGGAGCCTGCTTCTCCCTCTCCCTCTGCCCACCCCCCAAGAGAGCTTGTGCTCTCTTGCTCAGTCTCTCTCTCTGTCAAATAAATAAATAAAATCTTTAAAAAAAAAAGTAATATATATATAAGCTTTGGAAATCACAGAAAATACCAAGATAAAACCAAAATTACCTGTTAACCTCCCACCCAAGATGAACATTTTTACCATTTGCCATATAGTTTTTCAGCTCTTTTCCAAATACACATTTTGATGTTTTACTAGTATTGTTCTGCGACATGAGGTGCTTTGTCCCACATTCCTGTTGCTCATTTTGTGGACAGTTATTTATTTAGGCAAGTAATAAAGGGAGAAGGAGGAGTGAGCTGAGACTGCTAATGTGGCAACATTGTGTGGGAAGAGCCAGGATTTTCTGGTGAGAATGGAAGAAGAAAAGGAGATAAGAAATAAAAGCTGTTTTAAAAAGCAATTAATTTGGGGACAGATAATATATACATATGGTATAAAATGCAAAAGGTATAAAATGGGGCACCTGGGTGGCTCAGTTGGTTGGACGACTGCCTTCGGCTCAGGTCGTGATCCTGGGGCCCTGGGATCGAGTCCCGCGTCGGGCTCCCTGCTCAGCGGGGAGTCTGCTTCTCCCTCTGACCCTCCCCCCCTCATGCTCTCTCTAGCTCATTCTCTCTCTCAAATAAATAAATAAAATC